CAGGTAGACGCCAGACCCAGACTCTGCCATTCACACGGTAAAGGGTGAACCTTGATTCGTCACTCCAAAAAACCCGTTTCCACTAATCTACGGTCCAATTTCGATGTGTTTTGCACCACATTAACCGAGCAGCGCGGATGGACTTTGTGATCAAAGGCTTATGGGCAGCAGCACGACCATGAAAACCAAGCAGATGTGCTTCCTTACGGATGGTATTCATTGAAACAATACTCCCGGATGCCTGTTGAAACTCCTCGCGGATGAGGGCCATTGGTTGGGTGCGGTTCTTCCGAATTTCTCTGGACAGCACTCGTCGGTCTCTATCTCCCAGTTTCGTTGGTCTGCCGACTCGGGGCACATTCCGACAATCACCGCTCACCTTCCACTTCTTAATCACTTAGGCCACTGTCGATTTTGGGTACTTCAGATCGCTAGATATGTCCCTTAAGAATCGGCCACATTTGTGATACCCGATAATTATACCTTTCTCGAAATCAGAGAGCTCCGAACTGCGAGGCATCTTGCATGCGACTAAAGCCCGATGCTGTTTCCTACACGATATATACCGGCGGAGTCTGTGACGTACTTTAGGAGCACAGATATCGTCATTTGCATAGGTGTCCAAATACTTATTGGTAGTCAGTGTATGAACGCCCTATATTTGACCCCTTGAGATGGTTCTTCGAAATCTTACGCAGACAAAAACTTTCCGCTTGTTTTGAAGGTCAAGTGAGTAAAATTTCAACAAGATCAGAATAAAATTGCTGATTTGTGTGAATTACACAATCCAATTAGTAAGCAACAAGAATTGAAATGGATATGCGTTTATCGCTTCAAAACCACTTTTTAACTTCCTTGTACGAAGTAAAAAGGAAGTATTGTAATCGCGAAAAGTTTCAGGCAGCATATTTCAACGAAAATATCCATTTTGACCGCTATCGAATGCAATTTAACGATGTTTTTGCGTGATATCTGTACGTAAGGACAGAATAAAATACTCTTTTCCTCAAAAAAAATTATAAAACTGCTTTAAAATTAATTCTGAAGAGAATTTTTCGTGGCGTCTGTACGAACGTATGTACGTACGTGCATGCGTACGTACGTATCTCGCATAACTCAAAAACGAGTAGCCTCAGAACGTTGAAATTTGTATATAGGACTGCTATAACATGTAGATGTGCACCTCGTATTTTGGTTGCAATCGGCCGCACCAAACGTATATAAATATATTTATATATATATCCACTCTGTTACCCGGCTCAGTGATCTCAGTTTCTTTACTCTTATATGTTTGTAAATTGTACATTTTTTGCTTTAAAAAATGATTGAATTATGTTGTTTTTATCTTCCGGTTAAGGATTTTATGCCTTTAGTAAATCTGTGTGCAATATTTTTAGAATTATCAGCAATTTTTAAAGTTATTTAATTGCCGCTAAGCTTTTTTTAATGGCGGCCATTGATGTTTACATTTGAAACAGGAGACTAGTGGATTTGTTGCCAATCTAGAGAAACTTAGCTTCGCAACAACAAAGATAACGCCTTCATTTATTATTTAAATCATGCTTAATCCTTTCTGGAATTTTTTCGAGGAAATAAGTGTTTAAGATTTACTTCGTAATTTTTAAAATAGATATTTTGCGTTTTTATGTATTTTTGACTTCTCGCGAAGTGAGAGGTGAATTAATTGAATGAGAAACACTCAATCGTCTGTGAAAAACTGTTTCTTATTTTGTTTTGTTTTCTTAATTTCTTTTATACATCATTCTAGCCTTAGCCCTCAAAACATTCTAAAATTCCACCTTCCCTGGTTAAGAACCCCTGATATAATTTGTAAATTACTGAGTAACACATGTGATTTATGCATTTTAACGTTCTCATGAATGTCTTGTTATTTTTAGTAAGAAGTTTAAGGTAACGGTACCTGATAGCCAGTTACTTAATAGAAAAATGAAAAATTAGGAATAAAAAGAAAATTGCTTACTATAAATTTTAATAGAAGAACGTTGTAACGGCGTGCTTAAATCTTGAAAACATAGATATGAATAATGTAATTTACAAGTATATAGACTCTGTTGATTGAAAATGTGGATTGACGAGGAAATATCTAGTAATACTCTATAAGAAACTTCATTTTAATTTGCATTTCTTTTAATCTGACTTTAAAAATTCTTAATTATTTTGCTTGTTTTCAGTGTGCGGAGGTATTCTGACGGCTGACAAAAACCTAGGTCATATTTTTTCCCATGCCAGCTATGGTAAACAAAGTTATGACAACCATTCATACGGTTAGACATGGAGGTCGAACTGGGCACGGATGACAGAAAGAGGCAGCTCATTCCATGCTGTTTCAAGTCTATGCCACTTTTCACAAAGTATTAATTGGAAAGGGGTGGCAGGCCAGTCTCCCATGATTAGATGTTTTCAATAGGTGACAGATCTGGAGACCGTTCACGCCAGGGCACCTTATGTATCGAGGAAGGTCAGAACACGACGTGAAACGTGTGATCTTGTATTATCTTGTTGGAAGATGGCATTTGGCAGTTCTCGAAGATAGAGTACAACCACTGGACGTAAGATGTCAGAATTGTACCGATCTGCGTTCTAATTACCACCGATCTGAACTATAGACGTGCGTATCATCTACCCAATGACTGCCCAAACTATCACACCAAGTGCAGGGTCCCTATGCCGATATCGAATGCAAGCAGGCGACGTGGGGTCTTCTCAGAGCCTCCAGAAACGTATATGGCGATCAGAATACCGCACACAGAACCGGGACTCGTCTGAAAAGACACATTGTGCCACTCCTGTATGCAGCTTTACTGTTCGGGACACTAGAGTCGCCGTCTTGCTCTGCTGCATTGTCAGGGGAATCCAAAGTAATGGTCACCGTGCTGATAGTCCACGCTGCTGCAAACGTCGACTCGCTGTACGAGCGGATACTGGGTGTGCTGAAAATATGCCTACTTCCAGACTAATGATCCATGAAGTGGTTGTACGGTTTTGCAGGGCTAACCTCACAATATATATATCCTTTCGGGCGTTAGTCATGGGAAGGCGTTGAGTTCCTGCATAGCGTTCAGTATGACCCTCAGCAACCCACTGATTCCATAATCGCATGACATGGTTGGATGTCGACTAGTACGACGGGCGATATCACGAAAAGATAATTCACACTCTCGATAGGCAACGATCCTGCCTCTATCGAATTCTGACACTTGCTGGTAAGCATTTCTTCTTATTACTCGAGGCATAACACGATATTCTGAGCAAACTCCGACCTCACAAAGCGCTTTACGAAGGAGAAATACACTATACAACATTTCTTTTATGCAGTGCTTCATATGTTATTTCTCCCTCTTGCCTACTCTAAATGTGCTGAAATATTAATCATTTGCATATCCCAGCCTCTTCTCTCTTTCACGTGATTTTGACGTACGTCAGATCATTCCTTCCTCGTAATGGAATTTTAATGGCCAGCAATGTAAGTCGATTATACTCACACTTGAAATTTTACATTTATTGTCGTGGTATACACGATAAGTCAATATTCAAACAAGAGTTCTCAATTCACCACATTCTAGAAACGTGTTGGATAGTTTAATTTTTTCTCTTTGAAGGTATTTCTAAAGTTTCGATATCAAATTAAATAATTGCCAAATTTAATTTGGAATAATTTCCAAGCCAATAGAATTGATTTAAAATGAAATAAAAGCGGATCTTCTTTAAAAATAATAATTACCCCTTCTTAAAATATCTGTTGCTTGCGTTTACATTTAACCCTTGGAATACGCTGGGTTATGGGGCCGAAATCAAGCACAATAACAAATTTCACGTACCAATTGTATTTCTCTGGAAAATATTTTATAATTGTTCCTTTTGATAGGCGTTGGTCATTAAATTTTTAGAATACAAACTGAAGTGTAATGTGACTAAATATATAGTATAGGATGATCAACTGAAAACCGTTTGCAGGCAATACCTGCGAAAGGAAAAAAAAGTGTTTAATCTATGAATGCCGTAATTGTAAACTTTTGAAGAATAGCTATCGAATCATTAACGAATCTTCCCTCAGCATTTGAGTGAACACCTGAGTCGATATTTCTGAGCGTCCTACAAAGTGCTTCAACGCCTTTTTCAGTTGTCTGTAATGGTTCAACACGGGCTTGAACAGGACTCAAATACTACTCACTGTTTCGTTTGCGTCCTTCCATAAACGTCCTTCGCGTGCGTCATTATATACTTCTTTCATCAATTAAATTACTTCGACTAGTTAACAACCCTCCAAGCATTACGTGTTTAGCTCTGAAACTTCAAAGTTAATCAAAATGTTATGAATAAAGGGCATTTTCTTGATTATAATTAAAAAAGGATTCTCTCACTTTGTACCTTGATTCCTATTCTTCCAATTTTCATACAAAGATACATTAAATTCTGACATTAAATTACATACATTAAAGGCGAATACATTAGATGTTGGCAGAAAGTTTCATGTGTAATGAATAAGAAAGCCACTCTTCTGGTCGAAATTTTACGTCGATAACGCTAAGCACTGAGGGAATGATAAGGTAGTATACTGATCTTGTTTGGATGCGTTATGTGTGGTAACTTCCGTCTCTCAACGGTTATTCTTTAAGAGCGGAAAATCATAGCCAAATGAATTATACTGTACAGACTAGGGGTATATCACTCCATGTTCCTTTCGTAACACGATTTTGCAGCTTTGTCAGGGGAATCCAAAGTAATGGTCACCGTGCTGATAGTCCACGCTGCTGCAAACGTCGACTCACTGTACGAGCGGATACTGGGTGTGCTGAAAATATGCCTACTTCCAGACTAATGATCCGTGAAGTGGTTGTACGGTTTTGCAGGGCTAACCTCACAATATATATATCCTTTCGGGCGTTAGTGGGAAGTTAGTCACGAAAGGGTTTTATTTGATCAGCCTAATATTAAAACCGGTAACATTTAATTTAAAGATAACTAAATTTTTCTTTCAGATTCCACCTGAGATACAGTCCACTGCTGATGCCATCTTTGTTAGTTTCCGGTCTGATGATACCCGTTCCGGAAAAGGATTTACTTTGGCTTATTCAGAGATCTTGAATGATTCCTCAAGAAGCATATCTTCCGGAAACCTAAGGTGCACCTACTCAAAACTACTCAATTTTAAGGTTCCGAAAGGGTGTTAAGGAATTTCAATTTGTAATTGTGACAGCTCGTGGAAGTTTCCAGAAATACAAAGATTACCAACGATAATAAAATGTTTTCAGTTATATTGTATTTAAATAATAATAAAAAATCTCTATAAGCCATAGCGAATCTCAAAGATTTCCTGCTATTGTTCTTTCGAGAAATGCATATGTTAACATATATTTTAAGGAAGACAATGTAAGACACTTTCTAAGAAATTTTTTCATTGTTAAGAAAATCTACTCTTGTAAGTTATACAGCATAGTATAACAAACAAAACTTTTATATGAACAAAATTGAAAAATAGAAAGTAAGGAAACCTGTGAACAAAATACTGAAAACTAAATTATGTATAAATTGCAGTATATTTGTTGTGAAGATGTGGATGATACGATGATGTAATAACGAATTTATCCTAATCCTAAAAATTACGTGCCTTTGTTCGAAAATTTCTGCATATTAGTAAAAACCATTATTATGGTTTAGTAGGCTTCGTTGCTTTATTTCTACAAGAAGAACAGTTTGTTGTGCTTTAACTTTCATAACCACTAATTTAAAAATTTCGTGATTTTTTTTAATGCAAGACGCAATTCCTGAAATAATTATGAAATTATTTCGTGTGAATTCAGAATGTCTGGCAAGCTTAGGTATGCATTATTGTTTCTTTGCAAACATGAGATCCTGCATCGAGTGTTAGAAATTTTGGTACTACTTTATATTCAAGGTCCCCATTATCCAAAATGGCGCCAAGATATTGCCAAGTTTAAACTACTGTTATATAATTTGCGGTGGTCATATCTTCGTGATTGCTTAGTGTGGCATCAAAAGTCTCATCTTTCCAAAAGGATTTCACCGCATGGTTTCGAAAAGGTACCGTTCTAGGTGATATCAAGGCCAACTTTGCTTTTATTTCACCATTTTAATAGAGCCCCATAATTTTTCCACATGTTGGGCGTGAATTCCCATCTGTTGGATAAGCAAAATTAAATGTGTGATTCACAGTTAAATGACCGTAACCAGCCTTTTCAATCTCGTCTGTTTTATAGGCTGCCAAACAATCTAAATACTGTATTGTCGATTCTTCCACATACCACGTGGTCTATAATCGTGTGCTAGCTTCCCGATTTGGAACCTGAAGAAGAAAGCACTTGCTACTTCATGGCATAACTCGCTGAATATCCACTGTTGTGAAAGTACCCTGCCAGCGTTATGTTTTCGCCGCAAAAACTATCGTCAACTATTTTTACAGGACCACCTATTCGTTCTTTAGGGTGTAGAAGTAAATCTAGCAAACAAACCCCATTCATAAAACTGGGGTTCTAGTATATTGTGGTTATTTCGGCAGATGTTGAGCTGTTTACAGCACTACTTTAGTGACGTTAGCTCCTTTGTCTAACCGTAAATGAAACACACAGCTATTGAGAGTAGTATTCTGAAACCACTAAGACAGTTGCAGTCTTACGCTACCTCTGCATACTTACATATAATTTCATTTCGTGGCCATTTGCGCGTACATATTCCATTTCCAGATAATGTATATTTTTATTGGGAAAAACTTCCCTCACGCCTCGGTAATTTAAAAATGGTCGACATTTGTTTATAGCGTTTCAACTGACAATAGATTATTACGATATCACGCTGTTCATCAAAACTGTGAAAACGGGAATACCATTGTTTTACATAATTTGCCGGTTTATCGCAGGAGCCGTGAAAATCAAGTAGTTCCGAAATTTTTTCTGTGAATCCATTAAGATAAATAAAATGGATCTTCCTTGTGCCAGTGTAGGGGATTCAGCACTGCCTAAGATATTTAATTTATATTTCAGATTTTTTTTATATTTTAAGAAACTAAAAGGTTTAAAAGAAAAAAACGAAGTCCTTCATATATTTTACCCTCATTTACCAGTTGGGCCTGAGACATGAGATACATTCCACAAGAGGAAGAAGAAAAATTACCTTTTTTGTTTACATTAGCTATACATAAGTCAGGTGATCTTTGGGGCTATCTCATTGTTTGATTATATTAGGTATACATAAGACACGCGATCTATAAGGTCATCGGAATGCATCTCACTACATTAGCTGGATTTAGTAAAATCATTATCCATAATTTTCTTTACACCCACATATATATAGATTTTAGGCGGCTGGCCGTACGAGCAGCTCGTATAGTTGAAAGAGACAAGATAAAATACATAGAATTAATATCAAACAAATATTACAAATTTTCTAGCAGAAGCTTTTAGCTCTATATTCATAATATTTCTATATATATGTATATACACTCACTTCCAAAAGTTAAGCCCGAAGATGTAAAATGCAAAAAAATCAACAAATACTGCTTTGATTGACTCAAAATTCGACAGGAAAGTAGCACATATATTTATACATAAAACAAAATCAGTAATTATATACAGAAATGAAAACTATTAAATTTTTGTAAATTTTCTAGCAGAAGCTTTTAGCTCTACATTCATAATATTTCTATATATATGTATATACACTCACTTCCAAAAGTTAAGCCCGAAGATGTAAAATGAAAAAATCAACAAATACTGCTTTGATTGACTCAAAATTCGACAGGAAAGTAGCACATATATTTATGCATAAAACAAAATCAGTAATTATATACAGAAATGAAAACTATTAAATTTTTGTAAGTTATCAGATAATGACATACTGGAGACTTAAACAGAATTATGTATAAAGTGAAAATAAACAACATAAAATGAAAAAAAGGACATTAATAGGGTATATGATCCCCCTCATCTGTATACAAAGTTTACACCTTGTGACCATGCTTTCAATTAGGTGGCTCAACCACTCGCAGAATTAAGCAATCGCCATTCTTCTTGTATAGCAGTTTCCTAGCTCAATAATAGGAGTGGCTGGTGGTGGTGGTAAACGTAAAGATACAGCACAGCCGAAAGCATACCAAAGATTTTCAATGGGATTAATGTCAGGTGAATATGCTGGCCACGCCATACGCACAATCCAAAAACATCACACATTCCGAGGCGGAAGCATTATGTTGTGGGCAGAGATTTCATTAGGATACTGCACATCTTTAAACAGGGTTCTTTGACAGCTGTCCAGTATCGAGATGAAGTCCTAGAACCCATTCTGAGATTGTATGCTGCAGCAGTTGGCCCTTCACTCTCCAGGTAGTCATCGACGATGTTCAGCTCTATGGGGACGTGCGTTATCTTCCATTAAGACAAAAGTAGGGCCAACTGCTGCAGCGTACAATCTCACAATGTGTTCTAGGACTTCATCTCGATACCGGACAGCCGTCAAAGACCCCCTTTAAAGATGTGCAGGTCGGTGCGGTATCCTAATGAAATCCCTGCCCACACCATAATGCTTCAGCCTCGGAATGCGTGATGTTCGGTGATGTTTTCGCACTGATTGCGTGTTCGTCGTTCACGCCATATCCTTATACTCTTGTCATCTGGCTCCAGAGCAAATCTTGACTCATCAGTAAACATTGTCCCAGTCAGACACACTCCAATTGACATGTTCCCGGCACCACTGTAATCGTGCCCCTCTTGATTGGACGGATAGAGCAAAACAAACTCTAGGTACCCGGGCGTACAGTACACTCATATGTAATCTTCGCCGTACAGTAGCTGCAGATATCGCCTTACCAGTGGACGATGTAACCATAGATGTCACACGTGTGGAGGTCGCTCTGCGATTCCGCTTGGCTACAGTAGCAATATATCGATCTTCCGCGGGGTTTGTAACCCTTGGGGAACCGGCTACGGGTCTTCGAACAGCTGTCTGTGTGGTTTGGAATTGTTTACATAAACGGGAAATTACAGAATGATGAAAGCCAAAGAAAAGAGCAACATCTGTTATCAACTGTCCTGCTTCGATGCGCCCCACAGGAAGCCAGCGCTTAGAATCTTCCATTCGTCTTCTGGAGTCATAGAAACACGTATGTCTTGAAAAAAAAATTGTAAAAAGTTTACCTTCTATCAGCACTTACAATCAGCTTCTGTAATCCTTCATAAAGCTATCTTCTTATAAGACTGCCTTTTTTTCATATTTCTTGACATAGCGCGATTGGCTCTTACCTAACATATTTGCATACTTCCATCTACCTCTCCAGCGATTTGCATTTTCTTCAATTATGATTGGCTTTCGATAATTAGCATTTTCCTCTCCGTGCTTAACTTTTGGAAGTGAGTGTATATATTATATGTGTGTGTGTGTGTAATGAATTGCAAAGAAGTTGACTGCGTAGAGAGATGTTGAAGCATACATGAATGATAACAAAACGAAGAACTTGGTAGCCGAGGCAGATTTAATAAGAAGCACTCGTGGCAGACATAAATAATATTTCTTTTATCTTAATTAAATATTTGCGGCAACAAATATCATGGCACACTAAATTCTAAAAACCATTTACATTTCTGATAACTCTGCGGTACAAGAGAAGCAACAACAGAGGCGAATTACACTGTGTTCAGGACGAAATCTTTATTTAGAGTGGGTTAGTTTCGATATTATCGTTTTCGATATTATTTTATTGACTAATTAATAGCGCTCCAAAATTACTGTTGACTGTTTTGAGTTTTATTTTGTAAAACCATTAACATCACCAGCGTTATGTAAACGTCATATGATATGGATTAATCTAGGAATGATACAGTGCAAAAATTCTGTTACAAGCATTTACTATTTTAAGAACAGAGAGGGGAAATACCTAAATTAAAATGAAGAGTTAAATGGTCATTGCACATTTAAGTTAGATTTCTGAAAGGGAGGTTTCCTAAAGCCTAAGTTTATTTATTTGCAGTTTAACATTACTTATTTTTCCAATGTTTTATTAAATATAAAATCAAACCTTTTCAAAAACTATCCAGTTCTTCATTGTTTTCAAATTGTATGCTTTGTATTGAATTTGGTGTTTTCTTTAAATATGTACATTAAATTTCGAGACATTGGTTTTTCTTGCTGGATTACAGACCTAAAAATTACTTTATTCATAAAAGTTTTCCAGTTACGTTTCGAAGTACATTTCAAAATTA